AAAATTTAACGGAAGGACTAAAAAGGGGCCGGATTTGTGAACAGTAAGGACCAAAAAGGGGATTTTTTTGGTACAGGGACTAAAAAGGGGCTTTTTCCTATAGTAGAGGGACCAAAAAGGGTATTTAACCATTTATGTATGAACTTGAGAAAAAATTGCGTAGATTAAACTAATAATAATATAAACCGTGTACTAAACTATGAGACCGAGAGGTAATTAGCTTACATGTGGTAGTGGATGAAGAAAAGAGAGTTAGGAGCTCCTCCTTCTTAAGCTAGAGGTTTCCATAGAATTTAATGCTCATAAGTTTGTTTACAATTACATATAGATATAATTAATTTAACAAACAAGTGAAGGATTAACTTTACTTGAGAAAGCTAGTTAATTAATTTAAGGAAATCCATCATTACATGCAATAACACTTAACAATTTAGTAATTCAAAATTTATATTGATTGATTATGGTGAAGTCAATGCCTTCGTACCTCATATCTTGGTTAGGTTTAATTTAATTGTTATTTTCCTTTTATTATTCTTTTAGTTAAACTTTCTTCCCATTTGGTTGTCCAAATAAATTTGAATTAATTATTTTGGTACTTAGTTAGACACAATCCTTGTGGATTCGACACTCTCCCATAATTATATTATTTGGAGCGACTAGTACACTTGTTAGGGTGATTTTAGTGCATCAAGTTTTTGGCGTCGTTGCCGGGGATTGTTGATTTAAATAATATCGAAATTAGTTAATTCTAGATTTAATTTGAACGTTTTCTTTTATTTCTTTACTTTGATTTTTTTTTTTTTGTTTCTTTTGTTTTTGTTTTTGTAGGTCTAACTATGGATCAAGTTGCCTTAAACATTGATGAGAATTATCAATGGCTTGCACCAAAGATAAGGGCACAAGTTGGAGCAATACTTACCAAAGAAATTGACAATAATGAACTTGAACAATTTCAAGCAGCCATTGAAACGATCGAATTAAGGAAGGCTCTAATAGAACGATTAAATATCGCTTGTGAATGGTGCGGATTAGACTATTTTAGTTTTGGTTGCTTATTTAAACGATATAATTTGCTCAACTTAGTTGCTGAAGAGATACAAGGTGAGTTACCTAGTGCAACAATGAAAAATCAAAAAGAAAAGGTAAACACTTTACCCTTAGAGATTGAAGGATAACTTGGAGAAGTAGAAATTATGCCTGCAGAAACTAAACAAGAGGATGTCCCTAAGGAGGAAGAGGAAAAAGCTCAGGTGTCATTTGAAGTGTTCAATGGGGAGTCTCATTTAACCAAATTTGATTTTAATGATTATTTTGTTATTGATATGGTTGATGAGATTTTGCAGAAAAACACTTATAAGGATCCATTTGAGATTTACTTTATTCAAGCAAAAGACTCAATCAAAGAATACATAAATTGCTTGAACACATCATCTTCCTCGGAATCAAAGGGGGCACTCTTAGAAGAATTGGAAAGGCACATCTACTGGCCTAAACCCAAACCACCGCAAAATAATCATTGGAGAAAATCTTATGGTGGATTCAACTTAAGGGCAAGAAAGCCAAGATTTAGGAAAACGAGAGAACATGCCCTACGACCTGATCCAAAACCACCTTGGAGTGGTAGAAAGTCTAGCTAATGACTATAAATTAAGCGCTTCTTGGGAGGCAACCCAAGCATAAAATTTTTCTTTTCTTTTGTTTCTTTGTCTTTTATTTTAATAGTTTAGATTTTTTTTTAAAATCATTTTCTCTTTATGGCCTAGGTTAATGCATAAATTGTTGTTCTTTGATTTTGGCCAGG